AACAAGCCATACTGATCCTCCAATAATTCCTAACGCTCGTAAACTTTTCGATAACGATATCGTTATTAGCAACGTTACACAATAACAAGCGTTAGAACTGTTAAATATCTCCCGTTTCCCGCGAGGTAGAAAACTAGCGTAACAGTCGACGCGTTAAACCGCAAAGTACGCAACTTGGTGCAAGAAACGAGAAATTCAACGGTCTACGAATACCTTGGCTAATTATCCGAGGATCGGATCGTTCCATTTGGAAAGCTAGGAAACGATTCGATGGACCGTAACAAATATTATTTTATTCCCCATTGTAGATTATGCTTCTATAGTTCGATAAAAAAAAAACAAAAATTGGATGTGTCGTTTGCTACGTTAATTTTGTGCAAGTATATTCTTCCAATTGTATTAATATTTAGACGATCCTCGTCCACAAAATTATGTCAGACTATTTGATTTTCCTAACCACCATTCGTCTAGCCAAGAAAGTCATTAAAGTATAAATCAAATAGCAACAACATTGGAAGAAAAGAAACACCGCTTGGCCGCGTTCCTCGACATCAGTCAAGCCTTTGAGAAGGTCTAGCGCGTGAGGCTTCTTCGTAAACTCAAGAATTTACTTCCCGGACAACCTTACAATACTAAAAGCAATATTTCGAAAACTAATTCCTGTTATTCGTACAGGAGAAACAAGTTTCATAGCGCAAGGAAATATTATCTTGATCTATCTGGAAATTAACTAGGTATAGAAACACATTATTTGCAGTTCAAGAAAGTTCTTTGCTCTCGAAGATCAACCAAAATTGGCTACTATTGTCTACCATTAACAGCTGTAACAGTGCAAGGGATTTCTCGTTCCAAGGCACACACCAATCCGGATCCACTTATTTCAATCGTGGTTCGCAGATCGTAAAGATCGGTGGATGACAAAAAAGCAACTTTGCCTTGGTCCCCGGCTGGGTTTAGCCGCGGAGGTTACGCGCGCACCGTCAGGGGATCAATTAAGCCGATCGAATGGGAAATTTTAATTTTCCTCGACGAATCGCGTTTCCCCGGGGTTCAATTTGTTTTCAACGAAGGAGGATCGAAACGATTTCCTCGCGTCCTTTCGGGTCGTCAGCGGCCGGCTACTTTAATCGCCGCGTTGCAGAACACGGTTCCAGAGGGGAACGAAATAAAGGCGATGAAAAAGCGAGCGAGCTACGATTGCCAATGATCACGCAGGTTATGACGCGATATAAAAAGAGGCCAGAAAGGAAACGAGGTAGAGAAAAAAGGCGAGACGTTACGCAGGTACTTTACCGCGCTTTTTTCACGCCACGCGTGAACACGAAATCGTTTAATTCGAACATGGCGGAGCGTTCGAGAGGAGACGAAGATGCCCGTGAAATGGACGTTCCGGTTTATCAGCGCATACGGCGCGCCGCGGCTTGTTTCCATTAATTCGCGTTGCGAGGCAAACTCGTGCCATAGGAATGCCCGCTCCGAGTCGTGCCGCGGTAACAGGCAAAACGAGCCGAGCTAATTTGCTACATTGTCGCCCGATGCACGGGGCACCGGCGAAACCACGAAATATCGATTCTGAACGGGGTCAAGAAATGCGATAAATTATCCTCAATTACGTTTACAAACGCACGAATAATACCAAGACGGAGATGCAGCGACGATCGCCAGATCAATCTTGCCCGTTCGAGATCTAGCCAATATGATCGCCATGCTTTATGCCCGGTTCTAACGCACAACTATATTACGATTCGAACGATTCTATATTAATTTTATTGGAAAACTTGAAAAGGTCGGAACGTGAATTATTAGTAATTTTTTTCGAAATCTCGCGCACACGGTGCACTCTGGAAGCCGACGTTTAACGCGATTATATTTTAACGAGGGATTATCGGGAAAGTCCGACAAGGAAGACGGTGAAAAATGCGCGTCGTTAAACGCGCTAGAAACACGACGATAATTACGGGGGTTAATCCGCGGCGAATAAACCGAACGAGGCGGCGAACGCGTTAAATTGAATACACCGGGGAACGGAAATATTCATTTTCCGCGAACGAAATCATTTATCGTCACCAGCGTATAGCCGTTAGACGCGGAAGAAATTTGCCGCAAAGGAAACAGATGCACGCTCCCGCTGGCTCCTTTTCCTTTGATATTCCCTCTCGTTCTAACGCGAGCTTGTTCGCGTTCGAACGAGCTTCTACGATCGCGCTCATGCGTGAATATGGAATCGCTTCATTTAAGACGCGTTGCTGCGTATCCCGGCGATGGAGGAAGGAAGAGGAAACCACGGTTTCGTTACGCGCGGGAAAAGGGACCATTTCGATTGAAAAAAATAAATCGAAAACACGCACTAACGTTACTTTACATGGATACGCGTGCAATCGACCGGTGGGCTTTAAGTTAACGGGGTTCTTAGAATCCTTGAAAATGATATTCTATATTAGCTAGATCGTACGGGAAGTTTAACAAACAGTCTCGTTTACGTCGATCGCGTCGATCCTTTCATTCATTCAGATTTATTCCGGAAACTGTTCGGCCAACGGAGTCAATCACGATATTCATGAGCTGATTAATCAACGGTGACGCATTAAAATGTAGCCACGATTCTCTCGATTAATCTTATTCGATACACGGGGATCGTACCCGTGCCTCTATCAGACCAGATTTTGAAAGCTGACATCGAGAAAGACGAAAATTAATTCAAGAAACGAGTTCTCGCTGAATAAATATTAAATGAGTAGAATAGTGCCAACTGGAATTATCTTGTAAGACATTGCAAAAAATGTCTCAACCGATTCCCAGAGACTCGACGAACAGTTCTTAATTAATACGTACACTCTACACGTGTTACTCCGCGATGCGGTTTTCACCGTTCCTACAGATTTACATTTTTGGGGAGATCAAAATTTTAAGTAATACTTTACAGTATCTCGTTTGTTCGCGATAATTTCTTCTTAAATTACTAAATTTTTTAGTAAAAATACAGATTTTGTCGAGGTATTAACCCCTTAGGATGACTAGTCTGACTCACGCAATCAGGCTACTTACTCATCATCGAGTCTTATATATTAAAATCAATACATTTGTATATTCACGAAATATTCGTAAAGGAAATCTATGCAACCTGCTGGGATTCATCAAAGAAACAAAATTAATTGACAAAATATAAGAAAAAAAAAATCTATCCTTTTTTGTGGCCATTTCTTGAGCGACCAAATTTAAACAAAATTAAATAGTATACGTTCGAGAAATTATTTGGAGTAAAATCGTACGTCAGGGGGTTAAATTGGAAACGTTTTAATGGATAAATGAAAAGAAAAAGGATGGAATATAATTGAGTCCTTTGGGCTGTATCCGTAGTTTTCAACGCGACGGCAAAGTGCAAATTGATCTCCGGTGCAAAAATGAGTTCGACACGGTTGACCTAATGGGACCGGCGAATTCCGTTACGCGAGGAGAAAACCGAGTCGCGACGCGGCCGGTAGAAAAAGCGAGCGAGATCTGCGTAAACGCGGAATGGTCGCGGACAAAACGCGCCGTGGAACACATCGGGTAAGGATAAAGAGATACGTAGGAAAGGACGCGCGTTCCGCTTTATCAGCGCACACGGCATACCGCGGCGTGTTTCCATTAATTCGCGTCGCGGGGCAAACTCGTGCCGTTGGAATGCCCGTTGAAGCCGAGGAGAGAAGTCGTTAGGCTGCGTGCCGTTCGGCCGGGCAACCGGTTTTCCCATCGGTGATTCGTCGTTAATTCGCCGATGGAGAGTAAGTAATCGCACGCGTACCAACGACCACCTCGAGTGTGTTACACGGTTACGTTCGCGCCGCGCCTACCTCGGGGTTGTTCCGATTTTCCTCGCCGATAAGACCGTTCCCCGAGAAAAAGCGAGAAATTCCTTTGACCCTTTTCGGAAAGAATTGTCGCCTCCTCGCGCTCGCCAACAGACTTGCTCCGGTAATTTCTTTATATTTTTCCTTTTCGTTTCTCCGCCACTTTGCCCGCCGTGCCTTTTATCGCGCTGACATCGTTCCAACGTAAACGATCGGCGGGCTAAATTTGACTACATTAACGCCGCGCGACCCTCAAAAATTTATTTATTCGACTCTCCGGACCATTCTTTATTTCATTTCCTTCGATAAGTATAATTGTAAATTATATCTGAAGTATTAATATATCGAGACACGGGAATTCTCGAGCAAAGAATAATTCTATTATTTTTCTTTTCATTCGGTAGTCTCCGGTATTTTTATTTCGAATGAAATTAATATCGACGTCCGCGAGTCGGTACATTAAATTAACTACGAAAATAGGCAACGCAGGCATATCGCTATTTACCATAAATGATAGCCATCGCAAGAGCAATTTAGAAAGTATAATGAATAACGTTCATCCGTTCGTATTTTTTACTCCGATCCTCCGATTCGGTAGCTCCGGAAATTATTCACCCACGCGTCAATTTGAGAATGATTGAATATATATGTTTCTATAAGATAATTTTGCATTTCAAGCATTTAAATATTTAAATTCTTCCCCATTTTTTTATCCTTTATATCGAGTCCGTTACGAAACAGTAATGTTCAATTTTCGAAGTAGCAGAATATTTGCTAACACTCGTTTTGGAGAACCACAAAATTATACATCGATTCTGTAGAGTTTCCAAAGATCCAAAGTTCCCTAAGTCTTCTATCTTACCCATGGGACTCGAACTTGTTTCATTAAACTTCCAAGTCTTTTCGAATCCTTTTACTCTACAGTGTATAGTTCAACAAAAATTTCTTTTACGGAAATTAACCTTGCAGTGCTTCCACTACGATATTCTTACGACATAATCAATATAGTAAACTGACTTTACATTTAACATTTTCTTTCTTTTAAATGTTCAAGTCTCTAATTTACTGTTATGTTACTTTTCTAAAAAGAAATCTGTAAGGAGAAAATAAAAGACATACCCATCTCTTCCTTTATAATTATAAGATCAAATAAGAAGATTGTGCACATACCAAATAAGTTCGCCAGCATAGAAGTATAGGCTCCTTCTGTAACGAAACGAAAATAAGTTTCAATTATTAAATTACGACACAGCGATGACAGACATTTGTTATATCGAACGAAATGTTGGAAAATAAAAAAATATAGTGGTGTATAAAAAATTACAGTTTTTGAACTAACACACGGATGAAATACAAATACAAATTGTACCGATAAAAAAGAAAAAATTGTTTTTCACCGTTGTCTTTGCGATTGTTTGAAACAAATGGCCTGGGGAAATGTTCAAAAATCTGAAAAAAAATGACAACGCAGCCCCATTTGCAGGAGCCAGCGGAACGCATTCTGTCTCACAGATCAAAATGTAAAGTTAATAATTGCTGATGCCAAATTCCAGAAGTTAATTCGTCCAAGTTCTATTATATTAGGTATTCGAAAAACTCACTGGCCAGGAAAAACATGACTAGGGATGGAATATATGACAGCGGGAGGGAAACGAAAACAAAGGATCGCGTGCTGTTTGCGTTATTATGGAGTAAGGTGTAAAGCGTAATTCCTCTTAATATACACCCCTCGGAACGAAGCTGAGCAAATTTAGCGAATCCAATATTTATTGGTGGATTTTCTCCATTGAAAAGTGAATTATTTATTTCCCATAAATTATTTTAAATTAAACGTTCTGAATATATATGTATATTCTATGTAACAGAAAAATGTTATATATGTGAATTAAACGGAGATGGATAGTTCCCATATAACATGCATTACTGCAAGAAATTAATTGTTTTGTATTAAAAAATAGTATTAAAGTTCATGCAACTTGCAGTTCCATGCTGTTTGTAATTTTATGCAGCTTTATGTACTATAAATGTATGTCTGTACTATAAAACGAATACTTATGTGTATAAAATGAAAACATTTCGGACGATAACGATTAGAAAACGATCGTACCGAAGTCAACGCGGAAGTTCCACATCATTGGAGATGTACCTAATGCAACCAAGTGTGGAATAATCTATATTATTAAGCGTACCAGACATTTTCAAAGAACATCGTAAAATCGGCAATAAATTTTTTAAATAACCATGAATATTTTACGCCTTCGACCTGGTTTTAAAAATCAGCATAGAAGTAACCTCTCGAGTCGTATCAACCACGGATCTCGGTTGATCAATTTATCGTAAGCGTTACTATTTTCGCAAAGAAATAGTATTTCAATAATACAGATTGCATAAACACGAGAAAAATAAAAGTTACGTTAACGAAACGTAGAATAATTTATTTCGAAAGAGAAACACAGAATTTGCGATAAATTTTTGAAGAACCATGAATACTTTATATCTTCGACCTGGTTTAATCCCATAACCCTTCGGTTCCTACGGGCACGTGCAAGTGTCGCCTTTTATTCGGCATGTTACATAAAAAAAAAAATTGAAAGCTTACAGGATCTACAAAGCACGCTTTAGAGAGGAATTTAGCACCAATTTCAACGTTTTAGTTCATAAAATAGCCGACGGGGACTCTGATTCGATCCATCTTCCTGTTCGCAACAGCCGTTATTCCAGAAAAACTGTGCTCCGTGTTACTTCGTTGGTGTTGTCTGTATAATATATATAAATTATATTTTCAGTCGCTGCGTATACGTTTTATCCCTATGCGTTGATAGAGACAGAAACGGACAAAATTGAAGCTATGGAAATACGAAGCTACAAAAATCGAAGGTTCGCGTAATCGCGCCAAAAGTGCAACCTGAATTTTCGTCGCGTTAAAAGATACGAAAGTTCATTTGTCGGTGATCAGGTAGGAAAAGAATTCAATCGAGTGTGCATGTGACCGGCGTGAGAAAGTGTCGTACATAGAGCATGCGCTTATTAGTTCTCTTCTGAATTTTACGATAGTCCAAGGGACTTAAATACATGTTCACACTTGGACGGTCCACGCGAGTGTTTGGAAACCCAAAGGTGCTTACGTGGAAACGATCGGACGTGCACGAACGACGGTGCACACAGACTCGCGGCAAAGTAAGCGGCCAGACGATGCGAAAGACACTCGCGCATTATATGCACGCATGCGCGACGAACAAGCCGTATTATTATATTTTACTTCGCCCGACGCGGAAACCCCGGGATAATTTGCGCGAATGAGCCGCAATTATTTAAGGGTGTGCATACGTAAGAAGGGTGGCAAACCGACCGCTATAGGCAGCGTCATTTTAGCCACTCGCATTATAGCCTCTATCGATTCGAGTCGCCTTCGCCGCGTCGCCATCGCGAAACAAGCTCATTACTTTTTCCGGGAACTGTTTTTCGCTAACTAATAAACGCTCGGCTGATAACAATCGCCCGCACGACGCGCCTTTGTTCGAGAAACTTCTGTCGAACCCGCGAATACCGCGAGTCGGACATTTAATGGGGAGGATTCTCAATGGAGGATCAATTATTTAGGTATTTTTCGAATAAATATTCTATTTTCTGCCTTTTATTTACTCGCTGGTGACGTTCGTTAATACAACGTCAATCGTGATTTAAGGTGTTCGAATGTGAACTTTGGTGGCCGTATTTATCGAATGCAATGTGGAAGAATATATTTAACTTACTCATAGAGGAATATCGAAGTATCGACGGAAGAACCGACCGAGAGATAAATGTACGGTGAAAAGTTTCGAGCTGACGCGTTTAATAGTTTCGTCGAAAAAAGGGTCTCGAGTATCCGTCAATTTTCCAAACGAGACAGATTCCGGTAAAAGTACGTTACACGTGTTGCTAGGGTCATAAGTATGCACGTAAAATTGCGGCTAATTTTAAGTTTAAGAAGATTCTAAATAATACCTTGGCGAACCTTGGAATTATGTGCTCGGCATTTCTCTAGGACTTCGAAGGTTAAACGCCCGACGACACCAATTTACCCGGGCCCGTGGAGAAAGCGTTCTTTATAGTTTCGATGGAGCACAAACAAGGCTTGCTACACGCGCCCGGTGGAAATGCACCGCGGCGCTAGAAAGCACGAGGGCGTCGAAGGTGGTTGGAGTGGCTCGGGGGGTGATTATGAGCGAGTAAGTGCCGCCGTCCAGTTTTTACCCCCCGCTGACCGTCCCTCTTCTCTATCGTGGCAACTACCCCCGCCACTTTTACCACGGCTCAACTAAACCCCAACGGATCAATACGCTAAAACATTGCCGCGTCGGGACGCCGGCGTGTAAAACCCGAAAGAAATAACAGTGGCTTGGTGTTTTCCTTCGGTCACATCGTGACGCCCTATCAGCCCCGGTCACACTAACGAACTTCCGCTGCCCGTCCGTCGGACTCTTGGCCCTCTTTCGAATCCATCGTCCGGTCGGTAACCGGACAATTTTCGCGGGAAAATATTTATCCAATAGAAATAATCCATGACGATGCCAAGTCTAATTGTTCATTTGGGAGTTAATTTTTCACTGGGAGCAACGAACAAATGTGCGTTATACTGGTGGCCAGTGGTTGTACAACGATTTCTCTTGATCAAAACTCGTGTTACGAATTACGTACAAAAGTACATGATCGTCACCCATGAAAATTTGAAAAATTCCAATACATAATGTACACTGGCTTGGTTAGTCTTGCTTGAACGTTGATTTTCCAGTAATTTTCGTTACTTTCATTTCTTGGTTAACCCTTTGCACTCGACATTTTTTCAAGTCCAAACCAAGGAGATATCATACACTTGAAAATTAAAAAATACAACAATAATGTAAATAAAACAGATATTTAATTGAATTTGTTTAAATTTGCCCTACTTTTTAGCTAACGTAAATTTCAAATAAAACACTTAAAAGCGTTGGAAGCTGCTGATAACAAAATTCAAATATAATTCGGAGTGCAAAGGGTTAAGAGAATCGCGAAAGGGATTTGGAAACCTTTCAAGCCTCATTCGTCATGTACGTTCAAGGTAATCAATAAGAACTTCTCATTAATCGGGGGCGTATTCTTCGGAGCACTGTCGGTTTGGTAAGCTGGACTGGTATTGCGTGCTGGGGAGAAATTTGGAGCGCTGTTGTTCCGGGAAGAAGAAGAAAACAAAGCTCGGAGCATGTTTCTTGTGTAACCTCGAAAAGCTTTAACGTTGCGAAAAAATTGTACATTCGGCCTATTAATATCTTTTTATAATGCAGCGTTCACGATCGCCTGCAACTGTTTTATCAGTACCATTATTCTCACGCAATCCAAAAGTTTCGACCTCCGCGGGGCTTATATTATAGTTGCACTCTTCCTTCTTAATGTGTATAGTTTAACCGTGGTGTAATAAATTCTGCTTCAGACCTGTCCGGTAAGGTCGACGCGTGAAAAGTACAAATGCACCGTTTACGAGAAACAATTACGTTCGTATAAATATATTTGAAGCTCGGACGTAACGTTACCTTCCGCAATGAACGATTTTACTAACTTTCAAAATTAGTTCCTCATAAAAATGTTAACGTATCGTTATAATTTAACTTTTATAATCTAACTTTTACACGATATTCGTTGATCCGTTAACGATATAATTGTCGATTTGATCTTGATAATTTTCCAGTAAAAGATAGTCGAAAAAATGAGAAAAGTCCGACGTTGTCGTAGAATTAACGCGTACTCGGCCACCTGGACGGTTAAACAGCCTCGACATTCAAGACCGTACGAGCGTACTGACAAGCCGAAGCCTCGTAGCAATACGTACGCATCGATATATCGTTATCTTCTATTTGCAGTCGATAGATCAGGTAAATAGAAAGCACACGGTTTTTCGGGACAGAGTAAACGTACCATCGATAGCAGTTTCTCGAAGGGCACGGAAGACGGATGAACGGACGTCCGTGGCCTACCGCAACTCGCATAAGACACCGATCGGTTCGTTCCTCTCCCTTCCACGTGAACACGCACGCACATGAACACGCATCGGCGGGTCTTACGTAAGCCCGGGCTCGTGTGTGCTCGACATAACGTTGCCTTTACGCGGACAGTCGATATATCGATTGTCGTCGACGGACGACAGACTGGTCGTCGACCAGGAATGAAAGAAAGAGGGTCATAGTGAGGGCGAG